AACCTCCTCCATACTGGACGCACTTTTGATTTGAGAAATATTGAAAAATTTGGTACACAGACCCGGTTGCACTAAAACATTTTCTCTATGTCAAAAATCATAACGCCAGAGATACAGGTTACAGATTTCCCGGGAGAAAACACACCCCGGTTGTGAGCATATGAATAATTTCGCTAGGGATTAGCCGCTATGCATGAGTGATATACGGTAACATGTGAGAAACATTTTGCGCTTCCCAGAAAATTTCCCATGGCATACAGATGTCATCATCACCCACTTTAATCATGAAAAAGCGACGTGCATGATAAATTTGTGATTTTATTTCATTATTTCATAATTAAAAGCCAGAATAAAAAAGGATTAACATGAGAGTAGGGTGGGTTCTAATTCCATTCTCAGGTGGGTCGATAGATTCACACCGTTGATGAGATCTCACCAAGTTGAAGTTGATCCCACCACCAATTCCATACATTTAAATTCCTATCACTGGACAGCAATGGAGTCAACACTCTAATCTGAGATGTTTTTCAAGCTTCATCCATTTTCTTTCAGTCTCCACACTAGGCAATCTGATGATCGGGGTATAATCATTAACCGCACGTGGTAACACGCTAGATTGCATGCATTCAAGGAGACAGAAACAGTTTTGGAGACCACCTTGTTTACTTTGGCGTTGTCCCCACTTCGAGCCGGAAGCTTTCATAAATGGTCGTGCTGGAAAACAAAAATCGATAACAATCAGGGACTTTCCGTTTTCTTTCTTGTTCAAATAACCATTTTGCTGCGTAAAAACTGCACAAAAATACACGCAATATGTTGAACAACGGACGACGTCTATTTAAACATATCAAAATGACAGTCTCTGTTGTTCGACAAGCTCTCCACAGTATTGAACGTTAATACTGCAAGTCAGATCGCGAGATAACGGTTTGGGCTAATGCAACTCAAATAACTTACAACAGATTTTTCCATCAGCATAGAAATTTCATTTAACTGCAAGCAGAATTTTTCCCAAATACTCTCCCAAATATTCTGTTTTCTATGTTTCATCATATGCTTTCATTGGAAAATCAAAGTGCTTTCATTTTGACTTGCTACTTCATTTATTGTCCCTTGCCCCGGAAATCACTGGAGTAAATGTGGAAAAGTGCTATGTGCATGGGTTTTTCAAAATCTCAAATTCACTTAATGCACAAATATGCAATATGAATATGATTATCTATCACCGTATCCGTGGACCTGTCATGGGTAACAGTAGGAAAAAATCGTTTTGTTGTTGTTGAATTATGTGACTGACTCGTTTCCAACGGAAATCCTAAACTAGTAAAGATTTTATAAGTTGTTATTTCCAGTCTGATTGTGTTGTTTCCCCAATTAAATAATTTTCAACGGCTCCATTCGATTGCCTGGTCGCTTATCTATTGTACCCGTTGCACTTGAAGATCATGCGATTGACCCTATTTTCGCTTCCCCGCATCTTCCTGTACATTTTTGTTCATCACTGTAGGTCGCGGAGTTGCGTGTCTGATAATTGCCGTTTTAATCCGAATGGGAGCTACCATTCTGGCAGTTCTACCGTCGAAACTGAACA